GTCATAAAAGACACTTAGCTCTTGCCAGAAACACTAAGTTAGCCATGGAGGCACAGTTATCTCAAGAAAAGAGAATGCTGAGCAAAGGCACAACTGACCACTACACACTCACATGATATTTATGTTGAACATAATAACTAATGGAAATTCATGAAGTTAAATGGATTACTATAATAATTGATGGAAACTAATTCAGTAAGAAAAATACATATACGTACTGGGCTCTAACACAGCTCAGAGAGGGGAGTGGCAGGAGTAGAGCCCCACAGAGAAAACAAGGGAAGACAGAAATAGGGAAAACAGGAAAACCAAGGAACGCACAAATCATCCCTTCTATCCCCTGCTTATCTGTTATGATATCACTTATGCTTTTATGTAAAATTACTGTGTATATAGTATAAACTTTAAAAACATACAATTACAATTAATTTTATCTTTTTATTTTAGAATATTTTTATAGAAAATTTGCAAAGATGGTACAGAGTTTCCATATACACTTCTCATCTGGTTTCTATTATTAATCTTACATTAGTATATTTTTCATAATTAATGAACCAATATTGATATTTTATTAACTAAAGCCCACACTTCATTCAGATTTCCTTAGTTTTTACCTAATATCCTTTTCTGTTGTAGGATCCCATCCAGGATGCCACATTACGTTGAGTAGTCACGTCTCCCTAGGCTTTTCTTGGCTCAGACAGTTTCTTAGTTTTTCCTTGTTTTTTATGACCTTGACAGTTTTGAAGAGTACTCATCAGGTATTTTGTAAAATGTGCTGTATTGAGATTTGTCTGTTTTTCTCATGATTATACTGGGGTTATGAGTTTGGGGGAGGAGGTCCATAGAGGATGATGCCATCTTCATCATATCGTACCCAAGGTACATACTATCAATGTAATTTATTACTGTTGATCTTAATGATGATCACCTGGCTGAGGTGGTATGATTTTTTTATAAAATAAAACCAATCACAATAACATAAGAGATACAACAAGACAAGCAGAAGCATATCAGGCAAATTGGGATTTGATTTTATGGTTTTTAACTTTAAGGACATTACTTCTCATCAGCAAGGACAGGAACTTTTCATACACTGACCACTTTTCCTGGATGTTGTAGGAATATTGAGATATTCTAGGTAAAAGTTAATGGATATCTATAAGATGTATAATTATCTTTGTTGGTTCCTCCAAAATCATATTAGTCAAGTCCACTGAAGATTATCCACTTACAGCAAAAAAAAAAAATTACAAATTCATGGAATTATTGATATTTGATACAAGTAGTAGATGATACAAGTCAAGCTATTTAAATTCTTGTGTGAAGAGAATTTATCTTTTTTCATGAGTTTACTCAAGAGTAATAAGAATTTTAGATTTTAGCCCTTTAAGGTTAAAGGAAATCTTGATAAGTGATATTTTCTTTTCAGAATTTTTTGTAACAAAGCATTTTAAAAAAATTAGTAATCACCCTTTACAATGTCAAATCACAAGAAAACAAGCTGATAATGTTGTGAATTTACTTTTTAGGTAAAAGGTGTAAGATATAGACTTAGTCCCAACCACTACAAGGCTGTACAATGAGCTGTGTACGGATGCAATCTACCAGTACTGAAGTTACCCACATGAAAGACTAAATGACAGGCATAATTTACACAGAGTCAGGCAAAACTGCAGGTACATTTTAAACTTTTCCCTCATTAAAGGTTAAAATAAAAATGGTTTTCCAGTTCTCAGGGGAAAAAAAATTCAATTAAGCATACAACACCCTATTTGTAAAACTGACAAATTGAGGTTTTAGTGTAAAAGTATATGGAGACATTTCTAAAGTATGTTTACCAATTGGGAGGCAGACTCTAATGTAGGGTCTGCAATTAAGCAAGTGGAAACTTTGGACGTACTGCTGTCTTCCTCCCTTCTAAATGCACAAAGCAGGTTACATCCCCTCAGTACTAAAATAAATACACGTATTTAACTTTGTTTGACAGGTGTTTATCAAGTATATTTGATCAAGGAACCCTGTTTATTATCACATCTATTTGTATACCAAGGAACTGATGTTCTAAGGGCCATACTTTGAGAAATGCTGCTATGTGACAAATAAATACTACAATTCTAAGTGTGGTGAGTCGAGCAACAACTGTAATCCATTTTAGCATATCTAATGAAATTAATAGGTGATGCATCTCAAATGTTTTTATTTCTTTATAGAATGAATATTAAGTGCAGAAATCCTACCCACCTTCTTTTTTTTTTTATAAACCATGCTGATGCAAAAATGGGAAAATGCTACAAAGACATTACTGTAGTACTGAAAGCACACAGCTTAACAATCAAAAATGCTTTAAAACATTTTAAAGAGAATGAGGGGAATGTTAACATAAAAAGAACCTATGAAGAGGTGAGAAATGATCAAGTTATATCTGGTCTCTTAAGAGAGTCCTCAGAACTGGTCTGCAGGGGCTCCTCTCCAAATGACTGAGTTGAATTAGCTTCATTCTCTTTAGCCCCCTGACAAGGTGGCATCTAATGTGTACATGGGAGCTCACCTGGTTCTCCCAAGGAGAGGGAAACCCTGCAGCAGCTATGCCTGTCTCTAGGGACCACACCCAGGCAATCCTCTTCATTCCCTCTAGGCCAGCTTCATCAGAAATCATGCTTTTAATGGCACAGTTACATGTCAAAAAGGAGGAGCAACGTTTACCAAAACAGGTGTGTAAAGGTGGCGGGGGGGAGGTGGGTTGACCTAGATGATGCTCCCAATATCTGAGTTGGCTAAAATCTGGAACGAGTTTTTCATGAGAAATACTGATATAACTGATAATAGTTCAGCTCCATCATTAATAAATAATTTTGAGGGCATTATTATAAAAATATACCACCATTTATAACATAATTTTTCTAAAAATAAAACAGCATTTTATGTTCTAATATTGCACACTAAATATAATAATACAGAGAATTAACCTACTGGTAAATTACGGACAGGCTGCAGTTAGTTTCCTAAAGCCTTAGAGTTCACTCCAAAATTTATTCAAGGCCCATGTGACATGGCATGGCTTTTCTGTTGTTCAATATTTTCCTAATTTAATATGCTCACTTTAATTCTTACAACAATTCCTAATTTAAACAATGTTAACCAGCAAATGTCTTAAGTCTTAATTTGGAAATCTTGCATGGCACAGGTAGAACAAAAAAATAAAGGCTTTTAAGAAATACTTTTTACCTAAATCTTATTTTTTTCTCGGTTATTCAATATAAAAATATATATTTCAAAACATTTTAAGATACCTGAGAAACAGCACAACAGAAAAGGCCTGTACCCAGGTGAGTCCAGTTATAGTGCAGCAAGGAGAGCCTGTGGCTACAGGTGTATTTCCCTCTTCTATAAACTCACACTGACCTGAAAGGACAACATTAAGAAAAAGACATACTTTGAAGAGTAAAATAAAGAAAGATAAAGCACTGAGCACCTTTTACAATGTTGTAATAAAATATTGATTAATTTTGCTGTATGAAAACCTGGGAATAGATCAAAGACAAAACTAGATATAAAAAGAGTTAAGCCATAAGTGTTTATAAAATCAGTTTTCTCTGACATGTGCAAAAAAACAGATAAAAAAATCCTTTGAGGTAATATGAAATTCATGATTCTCTTTCTGCCAATGTCATCATTTGCTACTGTAGCTTCTTAGTTGTCCACTTAGATTTTATATTACAGACTGATACATGAGGTTTCACATTAACATAAACACTTCTTTTTAAAAAAGACTATAATGCTTTTACGGCTGTACCATGAAGTATTATTACAAATAAATTCTAACTATACTTCATCATAAATAGAAATTAAGAAACTACATTTCACCAAGCTGATTTTTGAGTCTTCTAAATCGTATTTGTTCACTTATCTGCCAATTTGAACACTATAGTAATTTGTGGAGGGCTTCCTTGTCGTTAATGTGAATTAACTTAATTCAAAAGCAATTATTTTTTAAATGGGGCACATACCAGCAAAGCTTAGCATAAGCCAAAAAATACTGGCACACCATGGGCAAAACGCCAACTCCACAGTGATATGTGAAGTTCTCTTTACGGATAATCCCAAAAAAAATTGTTCTCAAAATATTTTGCCCATTAGAATTATTAAATAGTTTAAAAATGGAAATCAAATTTAATGACATGATTTTAGGCCTTTGGGCTAGAATCTTACAACCAGAAGGAATAACAATTTTCACACAAATTCTTGTGATATTGTCAGAAAGTTTAACCACTGATTTAAAGAATCCTGTTGAAATAATACACGAAAAACCTATAGGGGTAACAGATGTTGAGTCTACAATTAAAAACTACTCCTTTTAAATCTTTTCCTATGGACAAGACACAAATACTAAGCATTTTCTACTTTTGTATTGCCAGAAATTCCATGAGAATCCAAACATGAAAAAGTGAAGGTTAAACCTGCATCTGGCTGGTTGACGATGAAAACCCTAGAAACAGCACTAAGAAGCATAAGATAGTATTATTGCATACTGAAGAAAAATGACAAACACCTACAAACATTTTTTCTATTGAAGCTTTAGTAAATTTGAAATAACACACCCTCATTGTCTTTCTAGTGATGCTGTTGAGTAGTTAGGAATACGACAAAACCAGCGCTGAAAGCTGATAAATATTTATGGGGCCACCTGGTGATTTCCTTAAGTTCAGCCACAGCAGTGATTTTGGATGCCACCAGTACTGCCCCCACAGGCACGTGTTCTTCTTTGGGGATATGGGAAGCTGTACAGTTGGGGACCAGATTGTCGCAGGTGCTCTGAACACCACTGAGAAGAGCTGCCAGCTAAAGCAAAAAAATAAAAATGAAGAATGTTTTCCTATGCTTTTCCACGGATAGAATTACTATCTCATGCCTGGGAAACCTAAAAAAAAAAAAAAGGAAGCTCCTTTATTCCAGATAACCTGTAAATTCAGGATTCCAAATACACGTTTTCTTTATAGGAGTAGCATAGCTGTTCATCAATATCCATCTTCTTATTGAATCCTTGATGGGATTTTAGTTTAAAAGGAGAAGGCGAAACAGGATCCATATGCTGAATAATGGCTTCAGCAACATCATATGAGATGGCTTTTGGGTTTGCCACATAGTCTGAGTTTCTTTGTCGTGAGCAGCTGTGCCAGGCCATTGAGAAACACCAGAAAGATGGTCATGGACATGACAATCACATAGTGGCTGATGCTGCACCAGGAGAAAAAGAAACACAATACTGGTAAGGAGAACACAGATGAGGAAAAGCATAAGATTCCTGTAAATAATGTAATGTTTTAATATGGATATAAAAATACACAGAATTACAAAGGGTACCAATGACTTCAAAATAGATACCAAAATGTTTTAAAAAACCAAAAGTTTGCATATAATGTGAGTTACGTATGTACTTCCTTAATAATAATAATTAATAATGTATATTACTTATGTATTAATATTAATTTTTAATCCCTAATAACACAAACTACCACTATGCTGAAATAGTGATGAACATAATGTTTTGAGATATCTGCAGTGACTATAATATGTTATGAAAGTGTCTGTGATTGGTATTGCCAGTATCTGTGTCTTTGTCACCAATAGAAATTAAATTTCAAAAGCTTTTAGAAAAATAAAGACAACTTTTTTTCTAAAATTATATTTAAGAAATTTCTTCCTCCAATTCTAAAACCCTTTGAATTCTATCCACAGACTCCCCAAGATGTTCCCATGTTAAGTATTCTGACATTTTAGAGCATTGCCATTTTATGCTTTGAAATAAGTTACAAGTACTTTGACAAAACTACCAGCTGCGAAAGAAAGATAAATGTTACCCAAACTCAAATTTCAGTGAACTGAACATTTTAATCAAGGAATTGAAACAAAGGGAAATTGGACAAATGTCTTTATTAATCTCACAATCAAAGCCACTGCCTCCCAGGCTTTTGGAAAAAGACAGAAGAATAACGAATACTATTAAAATTACTCAGTCTTAGTTCTCATCTATCAGCAATGGTTAATGTTCAGTTTTCCTTTTTAGACACAGTAATTGTACTGTCTACATAGAACATAACTTGATGAAAAATTCAGAAGTAGGGGAAGAAACGTAGGATATAGATGTGACAAATGTGTAACACAGCAGAGGCTTCATATGGTGATGCCAGCAAAGCACTGCCAAGCTGAGCTACAGCCCATGTTGGCAAGTTATTTATTTTCAATGCCTACCAGCGTTACACTTAACTGTCTAACTCGATCATAGATGTGCACATTTCATATTCTTCAACAAACAGAGGGGGAAATGTTTCAGCAGGCCTATGACCAGGCTAGTGTAATGAAGGGAGATCATTTTTTCTACCCCTTCCTTTCATCTACCCACAGCACACAGAAGAGGAGTCAGTCCTGGTGCTGGTTCAAGAACTCCTACCCAGGAGTACCCCACAAAGCAAGCCCCAGGGAACAAGGCCTTGGGACATCAGGGAAGGTAACTGCTGGGTGTTGAGTCAAGAAGGTCGATCACCTGGAGGGACCTGGAGACTAAGGGGGAGAGAGTTAAGGGGCCGTGGAGGTCTCCCCGCCACCTTCCCAATAACTCAACCCAATAGGTGAGCCGCCCCTGCCAAAAATCAAATTGTTGGCTTTAAGCCAGATTTAGCATGTTAATCAAGTATTTGCCCATAGGCCTCTCAAGGCCAGAAAAGGTCTTCTACTTTGTGTGACTTTTTTTTTTTTTTTTTTGTAATGTTACAGCTTTTAAGTAAGAACCTCCAATTGTAAAGTTTTATAGTTTAATAAGATTTTCTTTGGAGAGGCACGGGTTGGGAAATTCTTATTGAGAATCCTTCTTTAGCTTCACCTTATAAAGTAAGTTTGAAGTAGAAAAGGAAGAGTTGGCTAATTAAAAAGCAAGAATTAGAACTGGTTACGTTAAAAATCTGGCTCTGGTCAAGGCTAGACGCTTGACCTAATAAGAAAACAATAAAATCAGATCTTTATTGATAAACAAACATCAATTCTAAAGGAAGATTTTTTTTTAAGACTTTCATTTTTTTCATTGTAAATATAATACAATAGGATACTGGACATGGAATTTTTTCTACTTAAATTGTGTATGTGTGGTTTTTGTTTTGTTTTTACACTGAATATGACATGGATTTTACCTATCATTTAATTAAATCACTAATAATTATTTATTTAAAAATGAAAATAATGATTATATGACTAGATTTATTTATCATCAATATCAAGCCTTGTTAGGAATAAAATTATCTAGATGTTTATTTTTTGTGAGCCCCCCCAAAAAAGAGTGCAAACAACATACCCGATATCACTACACACCTATCAGTGTAAGTCTCACACTTGATACAAAAATTAACTAAAATGGATCATAGACTTAAATGTAAAAGTATAACATTTTAGAAAAAAAAAACAAACAGGAGAAAACAGGCTGTATAAGAGGTAGGCTGGGGCTGGTCCGATGGTAGTGGCTTATCAGAACTTACTAACATTAGTGTCACTAGACTTGGTATAACTGCCCCCCCACTGCTAAATTTGACTGGCTTTAAAATAAAAATAAAAAAACAAGAGATGGGTTGGATTTGACTGAAGGGCCATGGGTTGCTGACCTCTACCCTGGACTGCAAGCTCTATGGAAGTATGGATCATGATTGTCCTCTGATCGCTTTCCCCTCTGCATCTTTAAAGTATAATGCAAGGCCTTATGGGCATTTAATCAATATTTGTTAAATAAATTATTAAAGAGAATAATTTAAAAGAAAGCATAATACCCCTTCTTTCATTTGATATTACCCTGGAAAATTTAATCTGGACTTAAATCAGACTCTCCTAAAATAAAAATTAAATGTAATAAAAACTAAATGCTAAAAACAAAACAAAAATTGTTAAAGAAACAAAAAGAATTTCTATGAAAATGAAGTAAAAACTAGCCTTATAAGATACTGAAACATAAAGTTAAGTGTAATCCTGCCATTAGAATCTATAGTCAGAACAATGGAAGAGAACAGATAGCCCTGTCACACAAGATACAAGAATCATCACAAAAAACAACTGTTCTGGCTGGACTCACTTTAAATTTATGAGCACAAATGAGATTTGGCTCTCATCAATGCCTCAAGCCTGACTGCACACTTGTGAATTACTTTTCTCTGTCTCTGAGCCAAACCACTTCATGTCCTGTCATCTCTCCTCAAAGTTCTGTCACCTTCCTCCCATCTCAGCAGATGACTTTGCTTATTTTATTGAGAAAATACTGACAGGACAATCATAAGGGAAGTACCTCTTCTTTCCTCACCCCGAACCTACGCATATCTGCACCCATATTTCCTCCTGTGCCTGCTCCCATCTAAAACAAACCCCTTCACTTCTGTTTTGGATCCCATCCCAACTTTCCTACTAAGGAATGTTACTTTTGCCAACTATCCTCTCCCCTCTTATACCACTGATTTTTCCCTTTTTTTGGTAAGCGAATTCTTTACCATATAAATGTGTAATTTCTCTCATCCTAAAAACAAACCAAAAACTCTCCCAAGTTCCCATAGCTCCTCTAGCACCATACTAATTTAAGGCATCTTAAATTTTGTATATCCAAAAACCTCCTCTTAATCTCCCACACCTTCCTTCACCAAACTCACTCCTCCTAAAGCCCTCTTCATCTCTGGCAATGGCTTTACCATTCACTTAGTTACTCAAGACAAAAAAATCTAGGAGTTATCCTTGATTCTTTTCTTTTCCCAGTATATCTAATCTATCAACAAATTCTATCAACCTCTCTTTCAAAATGTTTTCTAAGTCTAGCCTCTTGTCGCCATTTTAAATTGCTACCCTAGTCTAAGCTATCATCATCTCTAGCTTAGAATATTCCGACAGCCTCTTAATCTTCCTGCTCCTCTCTTGATCCCTCCAATA